CAAATGGTGCAAAATCATCAGTATTTAGAAGTAATGTGTAATTGGGATATTTGTGGTTCTTGGATATGTCTTTAAAAGAAGGAATCTGGATGGCTGGTCAGCTCACTTGGTTAGAAAGTGGTGCTGATAACACCAAGGTCAAGGGTTGGGAATCTCTTACTGGTCAACCAAAAGAAAAAAAAAAAAAGAGGAAGAAAGAATCAAGCTCTGGAAATTTTACAGTTAATAATCCTGCAACATCCAAATCTCAAGTCTTCATTCAAATTAATTTAAATATGGTACAAAGGCTTAAGTAGGTGGAGTCAGGTTACTCTGACATCATCCACAACTGAAAAAGGTGAATGTAAGATGCAAATAAGTTAGTATTAGTTAATACAGAAATTACATTACCCAATGACATTATTTTTTTTTCTGTGGCCCAAGAAGTGAATCAGGCTAGTTATAGATCATTAAGATTAACTCTCTTTCCATTTCGGTGTTATCCTTGCTTTGGTGTCTTCCTCGCTCCCTTATCCCTGTCACCTGGCACAGCCAATGAGTCCTCAAGCTTTGTCAAACCTAGTTCTAAACAGCTGTCAACAGTTTTCTGTCAAGCTTCATTTGTCTTGAATTATCCTGGCCTCTTCCCCCAACACCCAAGACTGAGTTCCTCAGAAGTGACGAGCTTACTCCCAAGCATCCTTACATGTCAATGCCTTGCTTGCTACTCCCACCTCAATGCCTAGCTCCCGCCTGCTCAGTCTTCAGAAATGCCCCTTCTGAAGGGATGTTCTTTGATCCCCCTCCTCGGTTAGTTGCCTCTGCTTTGCATCCCTTTAACCCCCTTCCCCTACTTGATTGTCTTGGCTTCTTTAGTTGTCTGTCTCTGGTGCTTGACTGTCAACTAAATGAACATAGATATTGAGTCAGTTTGGTCCATCATATTTCTAAGTAGTACAGATATGTATTTTTCAGATAAATGACTGAAGAATTAAGAAAATGAAAAAGCAGGGCTGATGGGAACAGACCCTCCCATTTTTAAGGTGGCATGATAGAGCTCCCTCACACCCAAGTACCACACTCGTCCCTTTGGGTCAAGGCCAAGTTTAGTAACGGAGAATGAGAGCAGGTGTATAATTACTTCAGGCACCGGTCCTGCATGGCTGTGATTTCCTGCATGATGGGCGGCTCTTCTCCAGCAGACGGGACGGCCCCATCCTGGAGCATGCTCAGTGCTTGTTGCCGTAGCATGCCTAACACCAGCTGCTGCTGTTCCAGCTCCAGAACGAATGTGTCTTGATATTCAAGAAGAGTTAAGAGTTCTGCTTTTGAGGCTTTCTCTGCTGAACTTCCAGGTAGGTTATTTTGCAGTTGATCAATCATTTCAGTGGCTTTTTTAACCTGATGACAAATGTACACACTATGAAGCTCAAAAATAAACTGAAAAAAATAGGGTAATTCCAATAAATGCCACATTTGACACTAGTGCATCAAAGCATGTTAAAGATGATGGTGTAAATGCTAAATTTCAGGAAACTAAAACCTGAGTAATCTCCTTAACATGAAAGGAAAGAACACCACCATAACTCTGGGTTTTAAGAACTGAAGTTACCAGAGGTGGGAAAGGAAGGAACAGAGGGTGGGGTGGAGGGGAGAAGTTAGTGAGAAATTGGTGAAGATCACAAAAAATACTTGCACTGTATACATGCTGAATATACTAATTATCCTGACTCGAGCATCACATATTGTACACAGGTATTGATATTCAGCACAGTACACCACGGATATGTACAATCAATTATATTTCAATTTAAAAGAAATAAATAACTCTGGGTTTACAGCTCTAATCTCAATAACAGGACAATCAGAGACTATGTATAATATAGAAAAAGTGGTTTTTGTTTGTTTTTTTTTAAAGCTAAGCAAAACAAATGTAAAACTCTTATCACTGTATAAGTCAACATGAACGTATGTCTTTGAGTCACAAAGAAAGATGTGGCTTAAAACACCGAATCCTACTGAAAGGATGGAAGATATTAAATACAGGATTTGAGAAATGAGTTAAATTCCTGCCCATTTTCATGGCAAAAGAAAAGTATTTTGTAGTTTTTCAAGGATAGGTAAAAAACCACATAGAACAAAATGGACTTGTCCTCAGTTGAAAATTTAATTGCTTGCTTTTCTAGCTGAAATAATTTGACTCTAACTTGGAACTAAATTGTACATTGCATATTGTATTTTGTTTTGTAATTTGGTTTTCATGTCATTGAAATAGAAAAGAATAAAAGGTTTTTTACTTTCATAGTCAATTTCAAAAAGGTGCAAAATACTGATTTTTAAAATGCATTGTAGTCAGTGAGTTAAAAAGAAATGCATCCATCAGTAATGGAAATTACCTTATTGTGAAAGCCCCTCCACTCATTCACTGCATCTTCCAGTATCTTCTCCTGGTCCTGGGCCACAGCACGGAGGCGCGTCCAGCGCTGCCACACCGTGGTCATGGACCTGCTCAGGGTTGCCTTGCTTGTGTCATTTCCGGTTTTCTCCAGTTGTGAAGTTTTCTCCTCCAGAGCCACAATCTTCTCATGGAAAGAGTTAACTACTGACACTAAAGCCTGGGTCAGGGGAGGAAGAAGGGTAAAAGAGAAGAAATTGATTTTTTAAAAGTTCTATGGATTTTGGTAAAGCTCAAAATTCCCTGCAAAAGGAAATGTTTCTACATAAATTTATTCTCCTGTAATAATGCTTACTTTTACATTTATTTTTCCCAAAAGAGTTTGTTTTTGTTTTTGGCAGCTGGCCTGTATAGGGATTGAAGCCTGGACCTCGGTGTTATCAGCACCATGCTCTGACCAACTGAGCTAACCAGCCAGCCCCCTATATTTATTTTTAAATGAGTTGTTTGAATTTTTTTAAAGAGATAAGGTGAATATTAAAAACAAAAGTTTATTTAATGCTTCAGGTGACATTTACCCATCTTTGGGGTTGGCCGGGGATGGGGTGGGCTTGACTGGTGAGTGGTTTGCCTTAAAAAATAAAATTAAAAAGGTAGTGGGAAAAAAA